TCAGTGGGCCTCATCCTTGGACAGAAGAGTCCTCCTGCTGCCTGGTGCCTGGTTTCCCATCCGGGTGGAACGGAGGTGTCTCCATGTGGTGACACAGGCCACTCACGAGGATGATGGAGAGGAGAAAACCCTACACACACGGAGCTCCAGTGAACCTCCGCTCAAGTGCAGTCCAAAGAAGTCAGTCCCCGGTCCCCAAGGCTGACACCGGGGCGAGAGCAGGGAGCCGGGGGTGTAATGCCRTGGTGGGCAGTGCACTCCAGGCCTGGAAGGGGGTCAGGGAACCYGCTCTAGGCAGTCACAAAGCCTGAGGCTGCTTTATTCTGACCAGCTCTGTGGCCCAGATGCACCATGGATCTGTGTGCCTGAGACCCTCTTGGCACAAAGGTCTAGTAGGAGCCATCAGAAAGGGAAGAGACTGGGGCTGCAGCCTCTTGGCCCAGGCCTGGGGAACTTGAACCRGCCTACCCCTCTCTGGCCTCCATTTGGAGGCTGATGAAGAGACTCAGGGGGGCTTGTGGCCCCTGCTCTGTGTACCTCTCTTCTTGGCCTCCCTCATATTTTTTAAGGACTGATCTCCTCTCTTCTGAGTGGTGAGCAACTCAAACCAGGGCCTGGGGCTTGGTCATCCTGGTGGCCACTGGGGGTTGCTGAGTCAGCGGATACATTCCTCATGAGTTCTCAACCATGGTTCCCGATGTCCGGCTTCCCTGGGCAGCTTCAGAGCCCAAGACCTGGGCCTTGATCTGGCTGCCGGCTGATGCGGAGGAGGATATGCCAAGGAAAAGTGACTTCCCTTCCCACGGCTCACCTTCCTGTGTTCAGAGCAGGAGCCCAGACCCCAATCCAGCCTCGGGGACACACAAAGGAAGTGCCTCATCAGGAACACCACTCGGCTGGGGGCAGGAGCCAGGGTTCTAGGCCCAAGTTGGCTACCCTAGTAGCCACCTTGGGAAGTCCTCAGGCCCCTCTGTCCCTCCCTTTCTGCCTTTTGAAATGCAGAGGTGGTGAGGTAGGTGGAGGGCAGGTGGGCTCTGACATCAGATGGTCTAGTTTGAATCCCAGTTCAAGCCCTTACCTACAGCACCACTTAGGTGGTGAGCGAGAGCAGGGACCCAGGCTCCAGGCCTGGGCGTCCGCCGGGTGGGGCCGTGGGCAGAGGGCTACTTTATACTTCAATTGTGGGCTTGGGAAGGTGCCGGCACCTGGTAAGTGGGTTTTTATTATTGCAATGCTTGTCTCTTTTTAAACCGGTAAAGGACTGTTCCCTGCCTGTTTTCAAGGACCCTTTAACATCATGAGTGAATGGTAAACTGGAGTGCCTCGTGGGTAGCTGCTCCTTTCTGACCTTTTTTTGTTTGGAATCTGATGGGGGAAATTCCTTCTTTTCTCAGTGGTGCCAGCCACCCAGTCACAGCCCCTCGATGGCTTTCCATGACAAAGGCAGGGCGGGCCGGGTCTCTAGCTGGCCTGCAGATCTCGCCTCAGGATAGACTGGGGCTTCTGTTTCATTAGCCACCTCCAGGTTTTAGCTACAGGGGCAGCGAAAGGAAACAAAAGCCCAGCTGGACCCCAAGACAGGACCTGTGGAGGGTCTGGGAAGCCTCAGGAAGGAAGAGAGGCAGTTTGGAGTCTGCTCTGAAGGGCAGTGGCCTGCGCTTGGCCCTTCGCCCAGGGAGCGCCCTCAGGCCAGGCAGGGGGAGGGCGGAGAGGCATAGGGCTTTCAAAGCCTCTGGGCTCCTGGCTGTGTTTTCCAGTAAGTTCAAGAATGGGACGGAGGATCTAAAAGACTGTCAAGAAGGAAACTTGAAACCTGCTCTTTAGCTCCTCAAATTCTCCCTGGGTCCCATGGCATCCCGGATGCCCCAGTCCTAGGACGCAGGCAGGCCGCTGGCGGGCCTCCGGCTCCCCGGAGATGCACCTTAACTGAGTGCTGTGGGCCACATCTCATCCTCTGCRCTGACTCTACCAGAGCCAGACATGGTACCCAGGCAGTGTCACTGCTGCAGGAAATCGGTGTGAACTGGGCACTGGCCCATGGGACCTGGAAGCAGCCCAGGCCCAGGCAGCTGCTTCCCTCTCTTCCTGCCGGTGCCCAGCAGGGGCCAGGCTGGTGGACAAACCAGAGCACAGCTCCAGCAGTGTGGGCAGCAGGGACCCAGCCTCCCCTTTGACGGTGCCACAAAGAGGGAAACAGGTTCTCTTCACCTTTGTCCTCATACAGGGCATCATTCTTTTTTTTTTTTTTTTTTTTTAAAGAGAGAGTGAGAGGGACAGAGAGAGAGAGAGAGAGAGAGAGAGAGAGAGAGAGAATTTTGACATTTATTCATTTTTTCTTAGTTCTCGGCGGACACAACATCTTTGTTGGTATGTGGTGCTGCTGAGGATCGAACCCCGGGCCGCACGCATGCTAGGGGAGCGCGCTACCGCTTGAGCTACATCCACAGCCCCAGGGCATCATTCTGACACTTAATGTCCATCAACTACCCAGACCCAGGACTTTCAGATGCATTGTAAGGTTTTGTTTCTTCCCAAGAAACCTGGATGCCTGAGTCCCACACTTCCCACCCCAAAAGAGGTTTAGTCAAAATATTCCCAGCCTTCCCATCTAATAACTTGATGTCAAGAAGGAAGCTACCTTGAGAATCTATAATCAGGAGCTGAAACACTGACAGATTCTACCTCCATGTGACCTCAGCTCCAAGAAATGCCCCAGTCATTTGGGTTGCTCCTGCTCCAATGGTCTTTAGGGAGAAGAGGCACTGTATAGGTTAGAAGCTGCCCGGACCAAAGCCAGAGGCCTATGCAGACAGACCGGGCTCACCCTCTGGCCCCAGGACCTAGGGTTTTGGAAGCGGCTTGTTGGCAAATTGCAGGTGTTGGGCTAGATCACCTGTCCCTCACCACCTCAGGGGCCTTTGGGCAGCTTTTGAAGCCCTGGTCCTTTGGCTTCTTTTCAGATGGGGCAAGTTTGTAATACCAGCTCTTTCCTTAGCATCCATGGGTTGCCAAGCCCCTTCCCCCCAGAGCACCGTTTGTCTGATGCACTGAAATCTGGTTGATCCAGATAGTGAGCCCATCAGAAGCCAACAGTCATGTTGTGTGTGTGTGGGGGKTGCAAACCTGAGGGACAGGTGACAGCTCGGCCCCCCAGTGGCTGATGCCATGCCCCTTATCCCTCTATTCCTTTAGGACAAAGCAGGAATGCCCCAAAGAGGCCAGAAGTCACCCCACTTGAGTTTATTTCCTGTAGTCTTTCTCAGCAGGCAGTTTACTTTTCTAAAAAATTTTTTTCTTTGCTTCCCTGGTTCACATTATAAATTAACTCACAAATATAGAGTTGTGCTAGAAAAAATATTTATAAAAGTTCATATGCTTGCTCACATACAAAAATATCCATAGAAATGGTTTTCTGTACACACAGTAGAGGGTAGGGAGTCTCTTTGGTTGTCTTTGTATAAAAGGTAGTGGCGACGATCTTGAGCTCAATAAGTTCATGATTTTTTCCACATGCTCTATTTCAAAATAAAAGATTTTTTTTGAAAAATATTGTATCTTCAGGAGTATACAGGAAACAGTTTTTTTTTTTTTTTAATTACAATGTGTATGTGATCCTGTTTCTAGAAAATTCCAAACCCCAGACAAAAAATGCTCACATCAAAGGCTCAAAATCTTGGCAAAGGGGACTCAGGCTATCTTCATCTGAATAGAATGCTGTTCTCAGGGCGTCCAGCCACCATTCATTTTTAATTAACATTTTCTTACTAACTCACTAGTCCACCAATAATGGCCAAGTGTTTGCCATGTAAGGTGCCAGGTCTCTGCTGGGCCCTGGGAGGGTGAAGGCAAGAGTTACTCAAGGGACCATGCCTCTGAAGGAAAGGGTGCTAAGATAAATAAAATTATCTATTTTTTAATTTGACCACAAATGGTTTATCATATTAAAAGCTATGAAATTCCATTTTAAAACTAATAAAATTCTAACAATACTTGACTACAAAATGAAATGCCCAGGACAGGAGCTAAGAGGGACAGGCTGCCGTGGTCAGCTGGCTCAGTGGTCACCTCAGCCTTGGACTTGGGCAGGAGGTGAGGCAGAGCCAGTGAGCATCTCCCTTCCTGTCCAGGGGAGCATCACCAGGGACTGCCATTTCCACCAGAGTCTCTGGTGGGGYGAGACCCAGCTCCTGCCATGCCTGCCTCCTTAGCCTGACACGGTCCAGTTGGTCTCAGCAACTGGGATACAGGTTACCAGCTCCAGCTTTGCAGCCAGGCCCAGGTCCACCATTTTCTCCCTGGGACCTCGGGCAAGTCACATCTCATCTCAGAAGTCCATGTCGCTTGCATAGACAGCAAGTGTGGGACAGGAATCYATGTCCACCCCTGTGAGGCAAAGTGGGCTAAACCCATTGAGAATAGGGCAATGCTTGGTACCTAGGGCAGCCTTAAGGCAATCAGTACGTCACAGGTACCAGTCAGAGGTGACCTGCTGCACACTTGTAGTGCTTCCTGGCACACTGATACAAACTTTAACTGGAGGCCAAGGACACAAAGTTGGAAGTTTCCTATAAAAGGCCAAATTACCTGGCTTTTCTAGAAAAGATCAGAAAGCTGTAGGATAGGGGATAGCCAGCTGCTCCAGAGCCTTTGGCTGGTGGGTCCAACCACAGGCTCCAAGTGCTAGCTGCTGTTTACCACCTAGGGACTTCAGGGTGGGCTCCAACTGAGCACCCCTGAGCCCACCACCCGGCACAGATCGACAAGGCCCCAGACCCAGTCTCTGCCTCAAAGAGCTGCAGGCTACCTGCCTCAGAATGCAGGCGGACTTCTGCCCAGAGGCCCATCTCCAGGAGACCTGTAAAAGTTTGCTAGGGTCTGGGGGTTCCCTGCTCCCTCTCAGTTACACCACGGGATCACCCGGGAGTTCAAACAAATGCAGAAGCCCAGCCCCACCCCAGAACTCGATCTGCTCAGCAGTGCCTCCAAGTCTGAGAAGCACCCTATACCTCGGAGCCCTCCCGTGGGTAGATGAGGCTGTTGACCATGCCCAGGTTGTAGAAGGGGCTGCTGAAGGGGCTGCTCTGGCCCCCACCGGCACTGGCCGGGAACGGGCTGTAGTAGGAAGATCGCTGGCTGCTGCCGCTGCTGGTGCCCAGCGCCAAGGTGTCTGCAGAGGCCTCGGAGATGGAGGTGGCGGGGAAGACGCTGCTGGAGGGCAGCTGAGGGCCCTGGGCCCCCAGGTGGCGGCCACCAGGGCTGGCGCGCTGGGCACTCCCACCGCTGCCGACGCTGAGACTGCTGAGGCTGCTGAAGAAGGCACCGAGGCAGGGGGTGGAGGCCAGCACAGGGCCACCCGGCGGGGACCCGGGGCTCTTGGCGCCCTCAGGCTCCGGAGACTGCGGTGGCCGCAGCACCGAGGAAGGGCCTTCTCCCTCCGGGGCGCCACCCACCCGGGCCCCCAATCCCGAGGACAGCCCTTCTTCTGACTTGGAAGTCCCGGTGGCCACCGCAGAGCTGCCGCTGGCCTCCGACCGCCGCTTGCGCTTCCGACGGAAGTTTCCATTATCAAACATCTTCTCGCAGTTTGGATCCAGAGTCCAGTAATTACCTTTCCCTGGGAAAGAAGGACATATTAGAGAAGGACCTGTTTATGCCTGTGCATAGTTGTTCCACGGTCCCCTCAGGTCCCAAGACCCCTGGAGCTGCCTACAGCCCTGGAAGTGCCAAACCTCTTTTTTCTGTTTTTTTTTTTTTTTTCCTATACATATTTACCCACGATAYAGTTTAATTTCTAAAATGAGGCAAGGTAAAAGTTACTACTAATAACTAATAATAAAGTAGCACAATTAAGCAAAATGTAACTGTGATAGAAATCATGTGATCTGGACATGCCCCTGTCTCCCCAGAGACTGGGGAAACTGAGGCAGGGGCATGGCAAATTCCATACCAGCCTGAGCAACTTGGCAAGACCCCATATAGATGTCAAAGTTGGAGATTGCAGGACTGAATTAGCTCAGCAGTAGAGTGCTTGCCTAGCATGTGTGAGGCCCTGGGTTCCATGCCTCCCCCAGACTTAATTAGATTCCCAAAGCACTTGTAATTAAATTGCCCAACACCTTCCCTTATTCTAGATCCAAAAAAGTGTGACCTTGCAAAATCATGGAACTCTGTTGCTACTTAAAACTTGGGCTTCCATTTTTTACAATGATAGGGATGAGAACAGCACCCATCTACCAGATTGAGGTTTAAATGACATCTCAAGCATAGTAGCTGGCACATGGCAAGCAGTGAAAATAGAGTATTTATTGTAAAATTCTTGTTCCCTAAAAGTATAAAACTCCCACCATTGAAAAAAACTATCTTWCTGGAAAAAAAGCAGCCTGCAAATGAAGATTGATTCCTGTGTAATCTCCTCGGTATTAGCAACTCATGGGATGACACTCTTTTGGAGTTTGAGGAAATGCTGGCCATCGACCTCCATTCCTGTTGGGCAGCACACACCCCTGAAAATCTTCTAAGCCTTCTGTCCACATGGCAAACATGGACAAAGCTTGTCTGCTTAGAAAATGTCCCTTATGTTCTACAACCAAGGTGGGAAAGAGGGATATCTCATCCAATAGCCCTTTTTACTTCTAGAAAAAAAGAACCTTTGATGTTTCAAAGTACTACCAAGCATTTACCTTTAGTGAGAGTTTTATATGGAAAACCTTAGTACCTCCTCACAGTTCTATGGAGACTCCTAATACAATTGTCCCCACTCTTCAGATGGGGAAAATGAGATGCAGACTGGTCAGCAACTTGCTGTATTCAAGAGCTACACAATCACTGCCATGATAGAGCCAGCATCTAGGCAGGCTGACTCCAGACCCAGAATTCTTTGTTAACTACTGTGTTAAGCTGCCTCCACAAACTAGCAGGCACTCACTCTTCCAAGCCCATGATCTTCGGTGAAGCATTTTCTGCAGATAATTGTAGGAAAAAGAAAGTTTTATATGACTACAGTTTAGGTAACAATACCTGCATCTATCAGGTGTATATATTGGGCCAATTAGGTCCCAACAGATTATTATTATTATGTTGTGTGTGGGGAGGGAGTTGCTGGGAATGGAACCCAGGGCCTCATGCATGCAGGCAAGTGCTTTACTACTGAACCACACCTTCAGCCCAAAATATTTTGTTTTGCAAGTACCAAGAGCTTTGATGACACTACCAATAACTTTAAATGTTTACAAAAGTTCAAGAGTTCATATAACTAACAAGATAATCTTGGGTAATTCACAGGCCAAATCAGGAAGATGCATCTTCTAGAACTGTCTACTCAGTTCAATACAGTACCCACCAGCCACAGTTGGCTATGGGCACTTGGAATTGAGATGTGGAATAAAATGCTCACAGGAAACTGAACATTTAGAACCAAGGAAATAATATAAAGAATGCATTATAATTTTTATAATTGAAACATTTTGGATACTTAAATAATATTAAAAATGTCACCAGACTCTGGACTTTCTGAATGCGACTTTGTACAGTATTCCTGTTGGAAAGTGCTGCTGCAGCATGGCTTCAGGGGGCTAGGGAAAATCCCAACCTCAGCGCCATGCCTGAGAACACTTCTGTTTGACTAATATTGTTTCCGACGGCAGCTCCCTCCCCTTCCCTTGTCCTGGGCTCCTTGGGAAAACCTCAAGTTTCTCTCCTGTTTTTAAGCTGCTTCTCTCCACCTCCCCCTAGGCCAGGTAAGAAAGGGCACTCAGCGCTGTAAGGTGGCCCTCCCTGCTCCAGGGGTTTTGGAGCTCAGAGCAGAAGAAAGTTGGGGACATTCTTTTTACATTTCTAACTAGTTAAGGCATCAAAATCACAATTTGTAGGGTCATGAAAGCTGTCCCAGCTCTATCTAATGGTGCCGGAGCCACGGGGGTCTTCTTTCTCAGGTGGTCACAGTGTGAGATTCGTAGGAGTCGGATAGAGGAGGAAACRCGCCAGAGTCCGCCTCCTTTGTGAAAGCCGACGGGGATCCCAGCTTTCTCAACCTTTCGGGTGAGTTTCCCGGCATTCCCACTCTCCATCAGCCTTCCTTGTAACTAGGCGACCCTTCAAAAGGGCCGATGAACACTGCCCAGGGATGGCCTCTCGTTTGACACGAACTTTCCCCCTCTCCTCTATCTAACTGGAGGTACGGAGGTAAGGGACGAGCTCCCCGCTCACTGGGTGCTCCCTCCAGACTTCTCWGACGTTTCTTTCTCCTCCGGTTCCCCTCACCCTGGTCAGACGAGGTGGCTGCCCCTCCACCTGCGCCCGCCCCGGCTCGGAGGAGACCAGGCAGCCACAGACCCTGCCCGGCTCCTGCCCGCGCCCGCCTACCGAGCCTCGAAGCACCTGCCTCGCCGCCCTCACCTGGGTCATCCTCGTCGCGGGGCACCTTCTTGAAGCAGTCGTTGAGAGACAGGTTGTGGCGAATAGAGTTCTGCCAACCGGCCTTGCTGCGCTGGTAGAAGGGGAAGCTGTCGGCCACGAACTGGTAGATGTGGCTGAGCGTAAGCTTGCGCTCGGGCGCGCTCTGGATGGCCATGGCGATGAGCGCTGAGTACGAGTAGGGCGGCCGCACCATCTTCATCAAGTCCTCGCGGCTGGCCATGGACAGCCAGCCCAGCTCTCCCGGCGCCGCGGACCCCGCGGGCGAGGCGGGCGCGGCGGGCGCGGGCTGCGCGAAGGGCCGCTGGGCGCACGTGAAGGAGCCGGCGGCGGGCGGCGGCTGCAGGAAGGGCCCGGCCGCGGCCCCGGGAGGCGGCGGCGGCGGCGGTGCGCCCAGGTAGGCGGCAGCCGCGGCGGCAGCGGCGGAGGACGGGCTGCCCACCCCGGGCCCATTGAGCCACAGGTAAGGGTTGGCGGCAGCGGCCGGCGGCGCGGCGTAGTCGGCCAGCGTGTAGGGCGCCCTGGAGGCCGGGGGCGCGCCCGGGGCGGCGGCGGCGGGGGTCAGGCTGGGCTGCGAGTACACGCCGAAGTTGTCGCCGCAGTAAAGGGCCATGTCGACGGCCGAGGGCGGGTGCGGCGCGGCCGCGGCGAGCGGGGAGCGCGGCTGGTCCCGCCGCTCGGTCGAGAGCATCCCTCTGCGGGCCACCCTGCGGCCCGCCTCGCCTGCGCTCGGCGCCGGCTCCCGGGCCGGGGTCGGCAGGTGCGGGCGGAGCCCAGAGAGCAGCAGCTTATATCCGCGCGCCACCCCCGGGCCGCGGCCCGCTCTCCACGCCCCCGGCCCGCCCCACCTGCCGCGCCCCGCTCCGCCCCTCCCGGCGTGCGCTGGCCGAGCCACCGGGTTTAAGGTAAGCAACCTTCCCGTCCTCTCAACCCGGCGACGAGATAAGAGCACAAATGTTAAAAAGAGGAGGTAACGCAAACTTATAAATCTCTTCGGGAAAGTCTGCACGTTAATTCGGGGGCCGCTCAGGCCACCTGCCCAGACCTCTTCTCTTCTACCTCGAGCCCCAAACCTTTTGTGATCCAGGGCGATGCACGTTCGGCGTTGCAGATCGTCTCCCAATCGCAAGCCGTAGAAGAAAATTTCAGCCCTTTTGGGGGTGCGGCGGGAGGTGTTCCCCGGCACCTAGGCGTGTCTGCACTCCCTGGGGATTCTGTGATCAGAGCCACTCAAGTCAGGGTTTAGTTCTTCTAGCCAAACCCTGCGTTCCATCACTCCGGGAAGCACTTGCTCATCTTAGGTCCGGTTTGTTCAGACTTCTGGTGTAATTTCGTTACCTTTAAAATGGTGAACGTTTTCAAAGACCTTCAATTAAGTGGCTTCGGAATTAGCCTTTTAAAGCTAGTTTAAAGTCATTTAAGTTGTGAAAAAATGCTCATTTTTTAAAAAGTCTAATCGGATTATATGACTTGCATTCCACTTATTCTAATATGTGGCTCCCTGCCTAGAAAAAACAAATGCAGTAAAATACTGTGGCGACCCCAAGTACCGCGCAATCATTATTTATTGGTTCAAAACAACAATAAGAAAATGGTCTCTTCCAATACAAAGTATTCCTAAATGTGTTCTTACGTTTGAAGGACACCCTGTCTCTAAGTAAAATTCTGTGTTCAAACTCCTGTACTCACCCCTCCGCCAAAAAAAAAAAAAAAAAAAAAGAAATGCTGGAGGAGAGAAAGGAAAACGTTTTATTCTGCATATGCCAATTACAGGCTAACAGTTTGGAATATTTAAATTTATTTATGTACTTTGGTACTTAAACAAAGAAATTGATAGATACTTACTTAGCAAATTTTGGTGCTGAGAATGTTAATCTCACTTCAAATGTAACTAGTCATCTTTTTTGGAACCAGAAACAATTTCTTTAAATCTCCTACCAAATACTATGGAAAGGAATAGTGTTTGTCTGCATCATATTTTGATTTAGATTTAAGGATCTAAATGTTTTCTTTCTTTTTTAAAAAAAWTTTTTTTAGTTGATGGACACAATAACTTTATTTGTATATGGTGCTGAAGATGGAACCCAGTGCCTCACACATGCAAGGCACGTGCTCTACCACTGAACCACAATTCCAGCCCCTAAATGTTTTCTTAATGTAGATAAACAAATTTGTTGGATTTTGAGATTTCTCCTGGGGTGTTAATAAGGAGTAAAACTATTTCCAAGAAATTGGAAAGAAATCCTTGAAGTTATAATGCCCCAATTTAATATCTGTTCTTAAATTGTAAAGTTCAAAGCTAAAAAGAGGAGGTCCAAAAGAAAACTTGGCTGGATGGCAAAACATTACTAAAGTTTGAAGCCATCTTCCCCTTTAGTAATTGGTGCCTTTAAGAATACAATATCTTTCTTTTCAGCAAATTCATCACCCATACAGACTGCAGTTTTGAAGGTTTCCTTTAGGGTCTAATTCTTCACCCAGTAGCTCCAAATTATTCTGAATGAGGGACCATGCTTGGAGATTATAGTTTATTGTTTTGATTAAAGGTTCTACTAAGTAACAATACTTTGTTTCCTAACTGTATCCTTTGCGGACTTTAGTTTTATTTAAAAAGGACAGAGCCACCTAGCGACTCTTTGCTTTTATTACAGCACACACCTGTAAGAGATGGGTGGGGGGCACCCCCTCTAGGGAATTGGAAGTTACATTTCAATATTTTCAATTACATTTTAATTATATAAACATAAAACTAGTTTGGGTCATGGCCTGAGTTATTTAATGTCAACATTAAAATAATGCTTTTGGCCAGGCGTGCCAGGTGCCTGTAATCCTAGCTACTCAAGAGACTGAGGAAGAAGGGTGGTAAATTTGAGAGTAGGCAAGGCAATTCAGCAAGAACCTATCTCAAAATAAAAAAAGGCTAGAGATGTAGCTCCAAGGTAGAGTGCTTTCCTAGCCTGTGCAAAGTGAATCCCTGGGCTCAACCCTTAGCACCACCTTAATAAATAGATAAATAAATCCCCATTTTAAAAAAATGAACAAACTTTATAAAATGTTTTTTAGTTGTTGATGGACCTTTGTATTTATGTTGTTTATTCATATGTGGTGTTGAGAATTGAACCCAGTGCCTCACACATGCCAGGCAAGCGCTCTCAGGCCCCCAATAAACAAACTTAAAAAGCATTTGAGATACTTAAAAAAAAAAAAAGATTAAAAAAAGTGCTTCAAATGCAAGTTCCCTGAAAGAATCTTTTGTTCAGTTTTGTTCCATTGCTTTTCACAAGATATATAATCAAGAAAATTGATGCATTTATATCAGTGAAAAATATGGACAGGCTGTTACATGTTTTGCATCACTGGAAAATAATTATTTAACCCACAGAAAACATCTCACTGATTTTCTGCTGCCATTGGGTCACATTCTAGCTGCATCCTTGAAATTGCTGAACAACAGTAAATTTAAAGGAATGTGGTAATTTTGAACAGAGACTGTAATGGAATGTAAAATTGATCACACTTGTTAATCTGTAGTATCACAGAAAAGTCAGCATGTTAGGGTTTGCTAGCATTTCCCTGTATTTGCACAGCCGGATCCTTCCCAGATCAGCATGGTGGTTTACCTCACAGCACCTAGGAAAACCCAGGAGCAAGAGGAAACCCACCCACCCATGTTACCTCCCTGGTCTTCTTGGCACTACAGTTAGTGTGCTGATCCTACCTCTTCAGACTCACTGAAGAGGAGTCTGTGCAGAATTAATTATGCCTTTTGTTCCCCCCCCCCCCCGTGCCCAGCACCTCCCCCCTTCCTTGAACCAGGGGACCTTAGTCACTGAGCCACATCCCAGCCCTTTTTATTCTCATTTAGAGATAGGGTCTCACCAAGTTGCTGAGACTAGCCTTGAATTTGTGATTCTACTTAGCCTCCCGAGTTTGCTGGGATTGTAGGCTTCCACCACACACAGCCCTAACACCCCTTTTTAAAAACATCCGTGTCTATGGCATCAGTGAACGACTACTTACCAATGACACATTGGGACAAGAACAAACCCACTCAAGGGTGTGTAAATACATATACACACAAAATAAGCAAAAGCCCAGATGGGACTTGGGGAAAATTTCTAAAGCAAAAATGAGTTGAAGCATTCCCCAGATTGGGGTGGAGGGAGCCCCACCCTGACAATACATTACAGACGCAAACTTTATAAAATGTTTTTTAGCCTCTCATGGAAGAGAGGCTTTGGGCAATTTCTAAGTGTTTTGTAAGAGGTAAGGGAGTGTGGCATTTATGAAATAAGAAATCAGAAGAGGAAGAGAATCAGGTGAACTCTATCCCAAGTGGGGATGGGAAGGAGGCGAGCAGAGAACCTCAGGTCACTGTCATCTTAGAATCCAGCGTCAAGATCAAGTGGCCCTGACACACTCAGCTTTGTGTAAGTGGCACCCGAGGATTGAGGGGGCCGAGGCAGGGATGGACACATCCTGACCTGCTCCATGTTCTTCCAGCTCTGCCCACGTGGCTGGTTCTCACTTCAGGCACCTCACCTGCTGTGCCTCTGCCCTCCCCTCCAGTGGCACCTCACCCGGCACCTCACCCGCTGTGACTCACAGAACTCAGAGGACCTTTCCTTTGCTCCTTAACAAACACTGATGGCTTCACTCAGCACTGAGGGAAGCAGAGGCAGCCCCTCTCCTGGGGACAGCTAGCTCCCCACCAGTGTGGGATTTGCCCTCTGTTCCAGGAATCCCTTTCCCTTCTGGGCCTCATGCTGACTGCAGCTGGGTGCCAGCTGGTCAGCCAGCCCCTCAGCCACCAGGAAGCCAGGGAGGAAGAGGGGCTATGAATACAGAGTGGGGCAAACCAAACCCGGGAGGGTCAGAGACCTGTGTGGCCACCGTGCACTGGCAGACTCAAGACCAGTCCCCTCCTTCCCCTTTAGTCAGGCCAGAAAGTCTAGCAAAAGGGCGCATCTAAAGGACATTAGAAGTCTAAAGCATCTGAGGACCCCATGGAAGTTTCAGGTACTTAACCCAGAAAAATAAGAAGTAATCAGTGCCAGAGGGTGGTGCTCCAGCACCTTCTCAACTGAGCCCCACCTGAACCCCCAGCCCCTTCCTGCCCATGGTGCACCCCTCCCCGCCTGTGGAACGCTCCCTGGCCAGGCCCTAGCCCAAGCCCTTTCTCTCCCTCCTGGGAGGGAACCCCAGGGGCTCTACCACTGAGCCCCATCCCCAGCCCTTTTTATTTTTTATTCAAAGAGAGGGTCTTGCTAAGTCACTCAGGGTCTCATTATATTGCTGGGGCTGGTCTTGAACTTTTGATCCTCCTGCCTCCGCCTTCAGAGTTGCTGGTATTGCAAGCATGGCTGCCAGGCATGACTGATTAGCCCCATTCTTGCACTTTCTCAGCTAGTTTCTCACACTTTTTTTGCTGCTGCTGCTGAGCCTCCCAGCTTCCCTGTGTGTCCATAGCTCACCTGGGAAGATTTGCCTGCAGGGACTCCCTGTCCAAGGTAGGTCCTGGCCCAGGAGTCTCCCCTGTGCCTTCCTGAGGGATCTCACCAAAGGCTGGGGCATCCCCTGACTCCTCCCAGCTCATGATGGGGGGCTGCTGTCCTTCTGGCTCACCATCCATCCCCTGCCTGGGCATCTTCCTCCTCCCTCTTACTTTATTTGTTATTGTTGTGTGTGGTGCTGGGGCAGCCCAGAGCCTTGTGCTGCTAAGCACCCATTCCACCAGGAGCCCTGCCCAGCCCTCCTCCC